AAACAGTGTGGTAACTTTTGTATTTTACTTCTCATTTGTAACATATTCATTAAATGAATGAATTAAGAAAGACTAATGAAGTGAATGATTCATTGAGTGGCTGGATGCGTGTATGCGTGAGACGGCGAGTGCGTGGGTGAGTAAAAAAATGAGGATGAATGGATGATTGGGTAAATGGATGGTTGTATGGACGGATGGATGAATGATGGATGGCTGGATGGATGAACGCTTGATTGAACAGATTGGTTGACAGAGAGGGCAGATCGGGTGGGGGGATTGATGGATTGATCGATGGATTGGTGAATTGAAAGATGGTTTTCGGTCAAGTTCAAATGCAGCTGTTGCTAATTTTTAGGCAAATCCTTAAATGATTACAACAACTTATGAACTACATGCCTCTTAAGTAAATAACTGATAGGAAAAAAATTGAGTTGAGGAAAATTTTTGATGAATTTATCCATTAACTGAGACACCAATACTTTTGAACAGAGTAGGAAAGTAGTTTTTAGCCAGCAGTAAATGAGTTTGAATCGGCTGGCCAGGCAATTTACCATCTGGGTAGGTCCCACGGTTAGTCAGTGAGTCAGTTATGGACCCTCTGGCAAACAACCATTAGTTACCTATTCACGCAAGTAGACACCCTTACGCTATTATGTTGTTTTATGTATTCATCCACACAAATTCACTTGGTTGCCATGATTTGTCGATTATCCCTTTTTCTACAGATTCCTGTCCAAAGGGCTGGATTTCTTATCACGATGCCTGTTATCAAATAAACTTGGCCAGAACAAGTCTGCAGGAAGCAAGTGATAAATGTTTAGATCAAGGGGCAGGGATCCTAACATTGAGAAGTACAGAGGAAGAAACTTTTTTGAGAGCAGAACTGGAGAAAAAACAGCTTAACAATATATTTTATTGGCTAGGTAAAAAAAAAATAGTCATAGAAGGATTTCAATTACGTTTAGACCACAGAGTTATTTATGGAAATGATGTATCTGCTGGCTTTATTAAATATATTTAAGCGAGGTCGATGACGGTCTGAAAAAAGAGGAAGGAGAAAAAACAATAAAACCAAAAATTTGTGCAACTCAGACAAACACAAGAAATAGAAGCGGGAGACTGATAAAGCGCAAATGAGATGATTAGTTAAAACAAAACACGAAGACTAACAGAAAATAATACAAATGATTGCTTGATAGTTGTTGTAAATCATCTGTTCAAAACAGCCCACCACGTACAAGTCTATGTGAAAAATAAAATTTATTCATTTAATTTCGTTTTCTACGCACAGGTGCAAAGTACAGCCCCAGTAGAGGTAATTTCATCTGGCCTGATGATACAGATGTCGTTTACTCTGCTTGGAATCCAGGAGAGCCTCGCTTTGGATTGGACTGTACCCTGATGCTAAACCGAAAAGGCTGGGGCTCTGATCGATGTGATATGGATCGCAGCTATATTTGTAAGAAAGGTATGTCACACCAGTATTGTGCGTTATGAATTAGAGGCTGTCTGATTTTTTCGCTTGATACAAAGCATAAATTCACCATCATCGAGAACGCCACGATAGGAGATCTTTTATGCGCAAAACGAAGGGAACCCTCCAAGCTATCTTTCCTTCTTATTCTTATTATTACACGCACGATACTATCGTTCATGGGCCCTCGGATGAGGTAACGGATGAAGCTTTCTTCCACTCACTGCCTTGGTTTACTCTTCTTCTTCATTTCTTCCTTACGCTCTTTGCTCTCATGGTCTATTCCCGCTACGTATATTTGTTTCCCTTCCTAAGCCCAAAATACCGATGGCAAAATATTTATGGTGGACCACAATTGACCCACCGTTCTCTATCTCCTGTTATGGATGAGTACGTTTACTCTAATATGAAGGAAAGTTGGTAACGAATTCTTAGTCTCTATAATGCTACAGAGGTAAATCTGACAGCTGTCTACATATCAAACAAAAATAAAATTGTTATGCATAACTAATGATTCACTCATTCTCGTCATACAGAACTAAAAAATTACAAAAGGAGCGAAGTGGAGATAAAGAAAGAGAAGAAGGAAAACTATCAGTGGCGTGCAGAAGAGTGGGGTGATTGTTCTGTCTCCTGCGGTGGAGGGATACGAAATAGAAAGACCCTGTGTTTTGGAGTGGACGAACAGAATGAGGTGGACGAATCTTTTTGCGAGGGTAAGGCTATTTCTTATCATATCTGACTATGTACCAGGATTAAAAGCTGAATATTTACGGTCATGGCAGCAATGGTGAGGTGGGTGTCAAACTGAAAAAATAACTTTCAGTGCAAAAACCGTTTATAAAAGAAAAGCTTATATGATTTGTGCTCATTAAGGATCGATCTAAATATGCGAGGCAAAAAATTCCCTATAACAAGAGTTTTGCAAAAAAACGATCACGGTAATTTGTGCAATTTTTGATGATCAGCGCTCTTAAAAATGGACCGACCTATGCGCAGTGAGGGGATTTTCGCTCAGAAAAAAATATTTTGCAATATTTCGAAAAAGCAAGGTTGTTTCGATTACTTTTAGAATGAGACAGATCTATGAGCAAAATGTGAAAGAAATCGATCCTTTGGAACCGAAATGCGACGAGCCGCTTTTAGAGAGATTGCGTCTTAAAACATATCCATACTTTGTAGACAATCCACCGCCTTTAGCGCGGGAAGACTGCAGCGTTAACCCATGCCCCACTCAATACAAATGGCACTTAGAGGATTGGGGAGATTGCAGCAAAAGCTGTGGAGGTGGAATTCAGCGGCGAAAGAAGATTTGTGCTGGGAAGGATATGATTTCTACCTCCTGGAAACTGTGTAAAGAAGAGCCTCCAATCACCAGAAAGAGGTATGGAAATGACAATTTAATTATATCTTTATTGTAAAAATTAAGATTGATAATAACCGAATCTGTGGAAAATTTTTATTGATTGAATGATTGCATCACTCTGTAGTTTCTTGGACACATTTATTTTGGAAAGAAGTTTCGCTCGGTGAGCTTGTGTTAAATGATGTGGAAAGGAATTATTAGACCCGAACTTCTTTGATTATCATAGAGATCTAAGCCTGTATATTATACAGAAAGTTGATTTCTCTCCACTTTGTCATTTTTATTACAAGATAATTTTCAAGAATTTGTTATGGAGATTATGCTTAGGTGCATCCTTTTCTTTTCATTAAATTAGGTGCAACACTAATTCTTGTCCAAGAAGAAACACCAATGTTTCAGTGGCACCCGTTTGGAGGGTGAGTAAAAGTAAAGAAAAATATACGCCCCTTTTAAAAAACGTCGCAATTTGAAAAAAAAATATGAAATATATACGCCTTTTGATCTCTTATCAAACAAGTGTCTTTTTTTGATGAGAAAACAAAAGATATATAATACGTATTCATAGAGATATATATATATATATATAAAAAAGCGAAGCCTTGACTGTGATCTATTCTGTTGTGAAGCAGAAGGAAACGGCTAGAGCAGGAAATAAATGTGGAGTGTTTCTCCCCACTTCTTGACTCAGGAACAGAATTGGCTAGTTGCAACATTAAACTTGTAGTCGAAGGACCTGCTGATCGCGTTTTGAATACGAATCCATAAAAATTCGCATGTTTCGTTCGTCATTCGAAATTCCATAGGTCAGATACTTACCACCCGTTGCATTTTGAAAGAACTTTCGACTAACATTTCTCCTTTAAAGGTGAGCTCGTGGAGCAGATGCTCCAGGACTTGTGGGCATGGTCATCAGATAAGAAGAGTGTTTTGTTCCAAGAGTGACAACAAGCCACTGAATGAGACAGCTTGCGCTGGGCGAGCAAAGCCTCTTTCTTTACGACGATGCTTTGCTACGAATTGCAGTCTAAAGAAAGGTATAATTTCACTTTAGAATTGGCTTCTGAGTGTATCGCTTTCTTTGTGTATGTGCATATAGTTAATGATTACTTTTCTCTGTCGTCTTTTTTACGCACTTTCTGAGAAGTATAAGTCGTTCAGTATCAACGTAACGTCTTACGTATCAGGATACTTATTTTTAACAATTCCTCGTCTGGATCGGTAAACAGCTGACTGGGAAAGAGGAATTTTCAAATTCCACCGTGGATTCATCCAAAATCTTAGTCGGAGTAAGCCTGCTTTAGACCCTCGCTATTCAAAATACTTTTCACACTATTAAACACACCCTGAGAGATGAACCGAAATGGTCTGGGCTATTCCTTGTTTTATCTTATTGATCATTTGGTATAATCTCTGAATTTCTTGAAAAAAGCTCGAGTTTGCTCTGATGGTCATGTGATGTGCAAGATTTGGGCAAAGCAGGGAAGCTGCAAGACAAGCAAGTGGGTTCGGACAAAGTGCCGCCGCAAATGCCATACATGCTGATCATCTGGATCTCAAGAGCGTATGACAATGTATACAGAGCGTTGGCTCTCTAAATCGAAATAATCCACCATAAGTGAGACTGTAATCTCAGAGGTCCTCTGTTATACTACTATGGACCCATTGCCGGGTAAACGCATGCAAGATATCGTAATTCTGCTAAGAACTGATTGTTCGGGTCAGCGAAATGTGGCTGCTTGGGGTACTTAGTATGGGCAGAAGATAGTTCTATTTGATATACCAGAGCAGTTTTATATGACATCGCATTAAGTTGTAAGTCAATCACGATGATTATATTTTCATATAACTGAGTCACAAGGATTAAAACATTCCTTCTGATTTTAGAGCTAAAAATATACATATCTGAATACCGTCGACTGTTCAAATAATTCAAAGATTCTTAAATACACTATATAAATATTTATCAGGCTACCAATTCATCGATTATTGCCCAGTGATAAGTTTCTGCTTCAAAGCTTCTGTTAGTAGACTAAAGTATGTTAGAAACTGAGCGATCTAAGCAAAGAAATCAATCCTCCATATTAGTTAAGGAAAACTGTTTTGTCATTACCTTTCTCCGCCCTTATTAGAACGAAAAAAACTTTCGAAATATAACTCGGTGATATAACGGAAGAAAACGGAGTAATAATTTACTTTTTTGACGTAGTCAAGTTCTTATATTAAGACTAGCAAGGACTTTCTTTCATTCAACATTTTGATGATTATCAGAATAACTGGGGGTTTGAAAACGAAAGAGCTAATTCAATAAAGTTACATGGGGTTCCTGTGCAACGTGATCATAAGATGACATTTTTTCTGTCCAGTTCTAAGTTTTCCCTGTTCCAGGGTATATAAAATAAGCCCCATTCGTACATAACATTTTCTGAGTGAAATACTAGTGTTTCGTGAGGTCAATTCCCCCATTCAAAGTTCAGCCACACTGTCATTTAACCACTCATTTAAATTTTCTCCTACTCGATTATGAAACGAGCTGTACTTCTCGTCACCACTAATCATACCGAGGTGGAGTATTCGCCCGATCCAGTCCATTCTCCAGTGGAAGCCGAACTGCCAGAAACACACGAAGAGCTTGGGGGACTGGGCGTGCTTGACATGCTACCCTCAAAATGGTAAGGTTGCTGCATGATCCACACGATTTCTGAGGAGGGAAGCCCAAAGTCCTTAGCAGTTTTCTTATCACATCTCTTGTTGCTATTTTGGCTTTTCAACGTGTTAGCAGGATCTTTTTCCTTAACTTCATTCTCTTCTTGATCCTTGAGTGTTTTAACGATAAAATGAAGTCTCGGCTCATCACTGTAAGAAACTTTCTCAGCGGTTATTCTGCCATTCTCGTCCACGGATAGGTACCAACCCTTACCGTCTGCGTCTGAGTGACACGTGCGAAAAATATTGTAAAAGTTTTTTCCAAAGAACTCTCGAAATACGCATTCTTTTCTCTCAGCTTCCTGAAGGTAAATAGAAAGAAACGTAATAGTTCAGGAAAGCGCTATGGGTGTCTAATAAGTGGCGAGTCCTCAATAGTTTTTTTTAAAATAACACCTCTAAAATCTTTTCCAACCGTAACTATCCTAGGTGCTTTTTAAGTTGTTCTTCACCTTTTGCTGTTTTTTTCTTTTTTTTTTTACTTAGCGAATCATTGTTCCCAAATTCTGTTTGCTCAAATTAATTTTATTTGCATAAACTGATTCCAACAAATCAGTAAATGCAATAGATGGTTATAGATTTTAAAATGTAGAAAACATAGGTAAAAGTAAACGTTTCTATGAAATAACGTTAATTCAGGATGAATAAAAATTTTTGGCCCTCTTCTCCAGAAAACGGGCTGATGTCTCAGATAATCTCAGCTTTAAGCACACCAGTTTCATTGTTACTGATCATGACTCCTCGTGTCATGAGAGGGATATGAATCAAAACTGCAGAAACATCTTTAGCAAAACAAGAATAAATTCAAAAGCAAATTTGAGAAAAAAAAGTAGAAATTTATAAAAGTACAACAAAACAAGCCAACGAATGAACGAATAAAACAGAAAACCACTAACAATCCAAGATTAAAACTGATTGATAAAACAAACGGTCAGCGGCTTCTCTGCCGAAAGTTATTTGACTTGACTCACCGTAGCAAAGATTTTCCCTTTGTTGTTTACTGCCAGATATTTTTTAGCCTTCAGTCCCCAGATGGCGATGAGGTCAGGTCCAATAGAGAGAAACTGCAAAACCGCTGAGGGAAAAGACATTTTATACGATATGTATCAAATGATGAAGACAATTGTGATATTACGGGCTTTAATTTGTTTTGTTTTTTTTTCGTCGAGGGGGGAAGGAGTGTTGTGATGGAGATTCTTACTCAGCAGCGAGGTTCACGCTGATACTCCGTCACGACAGCTAAATTTTTAACATTGTTGACCTAAAAATGGATTGCCCTTTCCTAAATCATTCCATATGCTCCTACAAAGTGGTCGCATTAAAACACCGCATTCCTAAAAATAGCTTGTTATGGAACAGAAAGGTGCTTTGGTTCAAAGAGGTAAACAATTTTATGGTTCATTGATAATTTACCGTATCTTTCGCTAAACCTCATTTATTACCGATTCTCTTGCCTTTCATGTACCTTTTGGGTGAACTTTGAGTATGCCATACTCCTCGCTCGGGTAACGATCACGTACGGACTGAAGTAGTACTAAGATTGGCAGCTGACTTTTTACCGCGTTACAAAAAGGCAATAATGCATCAGTGATTAAAATTTACACTGTAGTTCTTTTATAAACCAATCCTTAGGGTGGTAGTGAAAAGTAACTTTGCTTGTCCGAACGGATATTTATGATGCCAACCACAGGTCACTTAAAGAGCTGAAGTCGATTGCTTTTTGAGTTATGTTCTCATGCGGGATTACTCTTTCCCGTTAAAAGATGCTTTAGACACAGTCATTGCAGACACGTTTACACAAACCTGTGCCATTGGAAGTTTTTTCTTTTTTTCTTGACCATAAATCTGTTTTTTTCTTTCAATTTGTTGAAAATCTACAACTAAGTATCATACTCGACAGATATTTCTTTAGCATGAAAATAACTTCATTTACAGTATCAATAGATTACACAGAACGCTAATTTATATGCGTCCAAACAAAATCTTAATCTCACTTTACTTATATAAAAAATAATTCCAAGATATTCAGTATTAATTCTTTGAAAACATAGAGTCAAAATAGAGTAGAAACATAATGAATATGTCGTAAAGCGGTATCTTTCTTGTTGAATATTTAAACAACGAATATCTTTAGGTGCAAACATACGGTGGAAAATTCATTTCGTGCTGAACTCGTAAACATTAAAGATACTGAATGAATCATGTTTTTCTTTGAAATACAGTTATTTTTATGCTGGCAAAATTTGGTATTTTCAACGCAAGATGTACACTTTTCATTTGCCTTCCTATAGCTTGTAAATGTCGCTAACCGCAGATTAATAAAAGTGTTTTATTCTTGTAGACCAAGAATAACATTTGGGCTAAAAAGTTATTCGAAGAACATTCCCCTTCGTTCTAAAAAGCAAAATTGAAAGGTATTTATAAAGAATGAAATATTAATTTTGATTTATGTAGGCAAAAGGAGTAAAGTCGCAATAATATTTCAAATGTTCAGTGTTTACTGCATTCGTAATATTAGAATATTTAGCCTCACCAGAAGAGTTTGTAATTATTGATTCATTGCGGACCCTGGCTTCTTGTCAGAATTTCGCAAATATAGGCTTCAAATTATATTGGGAAGTAATATTCGATTCCCAAAATAACATTAAAAGCAGCATAATACATGTTCAACAAAATTCTATCATCTATGAATAAATTTTCCTCACCGTTTAAACAGCTTTCGTCGCTAGTGCCTGTCACCTCGCCAGTTGCGTTAATCGCGATGTAAAATCCGTTTTTTGCATACAGCTGTCGTTTCCGCGTGTATTTTTGGAGCGAGGAAAAAGTCAGAGAAGACTTTGGACCAGCCATATCGAATCCTACCTCGAAAATTTACACGCAGTCTTTACTTGTCAGTCATAACGACCTGCGAGGAAGATTCGTGATGGATACCGCCATCAACCAAAATATAAAATAATGATGAATTAACGTATGCGAAATTGTTTCCGTTTCATATGACTGTGGCCAATGAAATGACTGGAGATTTGAGTGACTACTCGAGATACAAAGGTTTTATTGTTTCCTCGCTTCGTGGTAAACCGCTGTTGTTTTTGTTCTTTTCTTGCTGTTAACATTAAGACTCTCAATGATCGTTATTGTAAAGTGATCACCTGTGCGAACGAAGTAGCAAAGTAACCTACCTATAAATGTAAACAATTCAGGATTTGAATAACTCAGTGACGGAGAAGGGAAGCTGTACAACGACGAAAACCGAACCACTTTGTTGAACTTTGATCAGTTCGCAGAATACAAAAATAAGATCATTAGTCCACAAAGTACACAGCTTAAATAATCTGGCATGTAAGTGTTTGGAGCTTTTTAAATCCTATGCATTGGATTCTCGATGATGAATACTTGGCATGAGGTCTAGTAGATAGAGATGTTTGCTCGAAAATCTTCTGGGCTAGACCATAAGAATAACAGACCTTGTTTGACCAATGAATAATCTAGAATCATCACACCAAACCAGACTGGTAAAAATGACTAATATATTTACAATTTGGTATGCAAATTCATAATTTTAAAGGTGAAGTGAGCCATGTGCAGACACTAGCACATCTTGTGATAGCCAGAGGAGCTTGTCGAGCCTCCATTCAAGATTACTAAAGAGTGGATAGCTAGATATTTTTAATGCAGCGTGACAGGTTTAATGGAGGTTTTAGAAGCTTTTTCGATCGCCGCATTCTCAAAGACAAATTCAAATTTTAAGGTCGTAAACTAGAGTTAGACTATTTGAAGAAAGGTAATTATCGCTCTAACTTTTGATTATTTTTCTGAAACATCATCCATTCTCTCGGATCATGTCTGACACGGAAACTAATTACTTCATGTTCGTGTTAAGTATGTTGTTAAATACTCAACGCTTTACATATTCGTCAAGTTACTATGGAGACCTATATTAAATTATTACAGATCCCAGTTATTTGTGTGTGTGCGCTACCGTTTCCTACGCTAAGGGTCGATATTGAGTTTATTCAATTGGTGGGCATTTTTCAAAAATCTCAGATAACACCATTCTATGGGCAGCTTCGTGATTAAATTTGGTTGGCTCGGTATTTTTTGAGATGGGATGCAATAAAGCATTAGCATAACTATCTGTGGTATTAGCAAATTTTTGTCCCATAATGACAGCACTGCTTTGCTCCCGATGTCATTCCTGGAAATTTAGTTCTATCGGTCTGGTACTGAGAGAGAGATGTAAAATGTTGTGTATGAAACAGATCTTCGTCGAGTTTGATGCGCAGCAGTGTTCACAAAAGCACTTGGTGCTGGATTCAGGATTAGTTCTGTGGAGAAGGAGAAGGAGAAGGACGGCAAAGAGAACATGATCTAATTTATCTGAGGCTTATCTATGGTTGATTAGCACCGTACGATTGGCGAACTGCACAAAAAAAAAAGAATTAAAAAAAAAGAAAAATAATAGCACACTCAGGATAAAAATTTCAATCTTTTTATTTAGCAGAAGCAAACTGCAAAAGGCGGAGTCTAATCTAATTAATTTTTAAATTATCTAGTCAAAAAATCTAATTAAAAAATCTGCATGAAAAAGGGGACAGCTTAGCGAGCTGTTCTAATTAATAATTCCGCAAAAAATGGGCTGCATAACAGTCTCTTACTATTGTAAAACCTGCTAGAATTTATTCTAATTGGTATTTTTTTTGTCTTTTTAGGTCTTTTTTGTGGTCTCCTAATTTTACCGATGGCTTCACAAAATCAAATAACAAACGTGCACGAGTTGGTGCTATTATAAAAAATAGAGCAGTGACCTTAATAGCGAACAACTAAAAAGCATCTACTCCCATAGAAAATAGTACGGAATCCTAAATATGTTGGAATCTCTAAGAAAATATATCATGAATGGTCAAACATTCGCTACTGACTCATAATCATCATGAGATGATTATCTTACATTTCATCTCCGGTCCATTTCAAGCTATATATGATTTCCATTCTTCCTTGCAAAGCAAATCACTCTCCGCCTTTTTTTCTACTAAAATGCAAGCTAAAAGAGAAAAAGTCCATGTCGTCATCCTTGATTTATCCGTTGGTTTCTTTGGGTGTGTGCCTAAGCTTTTTTAAGGGAGGAGATTTCGGCTTCATTAAAGGTACCCAAACCCTCAAAGCAATTTGCAGATGGACTCGAGGCACCCAGTTTCTCATAATGCACGGCTTCATTCGAGATGCCCAGTGCGTCATACCGATTGTTTCCAATGTGGGAGACTGGTTTTTCTTCATGAGAAGTATTGCCATCCTTTTCATCATTCAAGGCGTTAGAGGTGAGAATAGGGAGCGGAACTTCAGTAGGCATCACACCCGACCTATTTAATTTGATCTTACCCTTGCTTCGCTGGCATTGGCGAACGATGCAAATTGTAGTGAGAGCAAGAAAAAGAAATCCCCCACACGAAATACCGATTACCATTGGCAAAGGAAAACCTGATTCCGTCGGTCCTAATTGTGGTAGAGAAAAATAGGAGGACTGTTAATCTAACTTAGCATTATGAAATTTTCGTCTTGAGGTAGTGGCAATTAGTATATAATCTCAAATTTGTTTGGCAGCGTCCGTTGGCACTAAGAAGAGAATCTGTGTTCTGATCGGCTACCCGAGCGGGTTAAATGGGCCCTTCTTGCCCGCTCGTGACCGCCCGCTTTGATCTCTCGCAAGAACAAAAATATTGCAATGTCGGCGATGAAGTTGCAAAGAGCGACAGGAGACATTCAAAATGAATAAGACATACAGGAATCTCGTGGGTTTATTGTGCCAAACAGTTGACCTTCTTTCCCAGTTCTCGAAATAAACAGGTCGTTCTTGATTCTTAACAAGCGACCTCTTTCAGCTATATAACAAGTCCTTTATTGACCAAGCTTGTTCGGTTGATCTCTTTTTGCGTTTCTATGAACCTTGACTAAGCTCGGTCCTTAAAAAAGCGAAAAAAAAAATCCGCCGTTATTTAGCCATCTTGACCTCACACCTGGTCAAAAACGCATATTTATTAGGTGTTTTAGTCTAATTCATGACTGATTGGGAGACCATCACGACTTGCAGATCATGTAAGACTCTTTTAAAGGGAGTTGATTTGTCTTTTTACCTTCTCCTTGCTCGTTTACTTTTAGGGATTCAGGATCAACGCTCCAAGGACCCATCCGGCCACCTTTTATTCCCTCTTTAAGTGGCGTCAATGCCTCTGAATTTTCTAGCTTCTTTTTAAAAGTTAGCTTAAATTCAACCAGAACACTTCCCTTCCTGGCAAAGAAATTGACAAGAAAATATGTCTTAATTACCAAAATATGTTCTGTAAATTCCAACATCGAATTCGAATGCAGATGCACAAAAAGGTTAGCACTTCCAATTTCTTATTAATCCTTACACGAATGATAATATCTCTACGGCAATAAAATTGTCATCCTCAGAATATAGCTCCCGTATCTAAAATAAAGAAACAAATTAAAACAAAAATATACAGATCAGTAAACGGCTAAGAATATATGAAAGTCATATATATGAACTGCGGATAAAGACGTGAATGAAAGTGATCCACGCAGTAATGTGCACTGCACTTTCACTACTGCCTAAGTAGTGCACATTACTGCGAGGATCACTTTCATTCACGCCAAATATACGTATAGATAGATAGGATGTATAAGCACACGAGGAAATGGTCAAATCAATCAATGAATAAGTACATCAATCAATCAGTGCAAGAGTAGATTGGTGTGATAGAAGACATTTCTATGAATGCGCTAGATCTCACCACTTTTCCAAATTCAAGAGACAACTTTTTGAAAGCTGCACTGGTTTTCTCGTTTAATTCATCATTCCATTCCGTCTTCACACGTAATTCGAAGATAAGTTCTGAAATTAAATAGCAAATCTTAATACACATCGTGAAAACGAAATTAACTTTATAACAGATAGACTTACGAAACAAGATGAGCAAGCAGTCAATGACCCCGAAGAGTAAAATGAACGACCAAAGCAAGAAAGATCCGGAAATGTAACCAAAACAAAATGAAAAAAAAGATAGGAATAACAAACAAATGTACACAAGGATAAGAATAATAGTAGTAAAAATAATGAAAATAATGATAATAAAAATCATGACAAAAAGAAGAGACAATCAAGCAAAATAAGAGCAGAAAACATGGAAGTAAAAAACAACAATACAAGATAAATAAAACAAACACCTGTTTTGATTTCCTCCGTTGTTGGTTCTTTGGTCTTGGGTTCGTCTGTCTCAGGCGAGTCTGTTGTCATCTTTTCTGTCGATGATTCCTTAGTGCGTGGTTCGACAGTTGTTGGTGGCGCTGAGGTATTTTGATTTTTGTGATCAGTTGTAGGAAATAACTTACCGACCGAGGAAGAAATACCGAGCTCTTTCGAGGACGAAGATGGACTTATTTTCTGTGATGCGCTAATCATAGTACTGAAACTTGACGCAAACACGTGTGTGGCCGTAGGAATGACTGCTACATTGGGGTCAGATAAAATCACCCTTGACGCTGAAGGACTTAGGGAAGTGTGTAGTGCGTAGAGATGACTGATCATTGATACTGGGTACCACTTATGGAAATATAGGAAAGAGAGAACTTATCATACTTCAAAAAGCACCCCCTACCCCCCAACAATAAAAAAATATCAAGGTTTCGATAAGTCGTGAGATATAATAATCATAGCTTACCAGTTTCACAATTGGGTCCAGTGAAGCCAAACACGCATGAACACGTGTAATCATTAACACCATCAACACAGGTTGCTCCGTTTCGACAGGTATGACTATGACAATCATCGATGTCTATCAACACCATCAAACAATAAAAAAGGATAGATGTTAAAAAAATAAACATCATTTGGAACTATACTTGAGATGTAAAGAAAGTTAAGTGCTCAGGACTGAGTAAGACAAGAGAAGCCAACGTGGGCAGAAGCAAGATAATAGAAAAAAATTACTAAAGAAATAGGAGATAAATTTAAAAAAATGCAATAAAACAAAGCAGTAAAAACAAGAACAGATGAGAGGGAAAAATACGAAAGCAAAAACCTTTTACCATTGGAAAATAAATCTTTGTGGAGGTGCAAGGAGCGTTCGCTATTAATTTTAATTTTAAGGACAGTCTACTTACTTGCGCGGAATTCATCAAATTTGTTTTTCTTTTAGATCTAGAAAATTCGAGACTTGAAATTTCCCCGTAGATCTTCAATTTTGAATGTATGTATTTACCTTTAAATAACTGTTTTCCTATAAAAATAAGCATCTCAATGGTGTGATTTACTTATCCTCGAGAATATTTTTCACAGGATCATAAACTGAAAAATGGGTGTTACCTATACAATTTTTTCCATCCCCAGTATAGCCAGATGGACATGAGCCACAAGATATCGTGAGGTTATTCTTTGAGCATTGTACACCAGGATAACAAGAGTCGTTATTGCAGCGCGTGATCGGGATATCACAATCACGCCCTGTAAAGCCAGCTTTACATATACAGCTGTAATTATTCATTAAATCAAGGCACGTTCCTGTCGGAAAAAAACAAAAAAACGTAGATTGGAATCCTTTGCTTGCTTAGAATTTGTTGAAGAAAGAAAAAAAAAACCATTTTTTTAAAACTCTAATCTGTAGCATAATAATTAAAAACTACTTAGGAATTAATATTTCAAATTACCGAGAGTAAAAAGAGATACATTGTTTTAGTGTTCTAAACAGTTTCATACATAGACTACCAAAAAGAGCCTTTGGCCTAAATTCTCAAATTATGGCCTTTCCAGGGAATATTTTCATCATCTTGCTTGGATAGAGGCCAAATTTTTTTCTTTTTTTCTTTTTTAAGAAACCCAACTCAGAGAATGAATTATTCCAGTATACTGAGACAAACTGAAACCGTTTTTCTTTTTTTTCTGTTGTGGAACAGCCTCTGTAGCAAAGCATTGTTTCATGTTGTCAGCCATTGTGTAACTAATATTAGGTAAGGAGTTAGTACTTTTCACGATATAGAGCACACACTCAATTAATTGTTTGAATTACCGAGATCACTACGGAGCTAATTGTGACAGGAATCTGGAAGCGAGTAATATAAAAAGATTACCATCATTTTCATCAAAACAACAACGACATTCATAAGAACAATAATTCTTATAAGATTGATACCTTACCATTTAAGCAAGGCGATAACTGACATTCATTAATGTCCACACTGCATTGTTTTCCAGAGTATCCTGGTACACAACTGCATCGATAACCATAGACCTGATCGGTACAATTTCCTAAATTGGAACAAACAATCTAGGATCAATTACTAGATTGACAGTATTCGCACTTGTTAAACTAAATAGTTCATATTGTTTCGTTTGGTTTTAACACGCTTTGGTTACACTTTGCGAAAATTTGTAAATTAGAGGGTGACTTATGAACTTTAAGTGGTCCAACCCAGCAACGCTACTGCTGTTTACGATGCTTGTTCACGTACCATTGGAGGCAAGAAAAAATGTACAACTTTCCCCATGAGGAAACATGGCGTTCTGTCTTGAGCAAAGCCACCAGCTGCTGTCATTTAGCAGTACGTACATTTTCTTTTCTTTTTCAAAAAAGAAGGAAATTAAACTATTTTGGAGCTGGTGCTCCAAAAAAAAAAAGTTTGAATGTAAATTTATATATTGATAGAACATTAACTTTCAGCGCTCTATTTGAAGACATTACCGTGAGAACAAGGAGATGATTGGCAATAATCAATATCGTTATCACAATTTCTGCCATCAAATCCATCATCACAGATACAGGTGTAGTTGTTAATTCCATCGATACACTGCCCTATAAGTCAAGAACACATTCATAACTACAGGTTTTAGTGCTAAAGAAATTGTGGTGCTGCGTTGGTGGTGAGTATAACAGGTTAATTAAGTATTATCAATTTAGTTGATAACGTTTGTTGATTTATGTCATCGTTAGAATCTCGCATACGCTGATTGGTTTGAGGAAAAATAAGCTCTTTTACTCGGCAGAGTACAAAACCCACTCATTTGATCAATGGCGGACCAATTTTCGCTGAGAAATTTGAACAATTTGAACCCTACAAAATTTTCTCTAAGGCTATGAGATCCGAAATTGCTATGTTCGATCAGACATCACAGTATGAAGGTCCTTGGACATACTGCTGGTGATCAATCAACAAAGCTAAATATTCCATAAATGTAGATGTTACATGTCGTGCTCTTGAAGACACGCTTTTTAAAGCTTTTTGAAGACCGCATTCCATATTTGGTCTTATATTCATTCTTCGGGCGTTCACTCAGTAAAATTTCTTACTTCGCATGCGGGAAGTTCCGTCTTTTTTAGCTTTTTCCTCGACTGAACAACTGTTTACTGAGATACTTTATATGTGAAGCTTATATCATTATAATGCTTTCCACAATTATGGCAATTAATTTTTATAATAAAGGAGAGTTAGAATTAATTACCTCGTAAACAAGGAAAAGACTGACATTCATCAATTTCTGTCTCGCAATATTGCCCCGTATATCCTCCGACACAGTCACACGTATAAATACCACTTCCTCTGGGCTTGTGAGGCACGCATTTACCTTTGTTTTTACATGGACAGACATTGATGGTGATGGTGATGTTTAAAGTAGATGAAGCCTGACAACTGTCGGTGGCTTCAAAGTAGAATGGAGTGGTTTTATTCGTTGTGACATTCCAAAATAAAATATTGTTCTGTATCCTCGCTTCTTTGGGAGTGCCTTCCAAACTAGAGATGGTTACTGGCATACCTTCAGGATCTGATACTTCGATCAGCAGCTCAAGCTTCTCTCCATAAAGTGCATAGTAGTCAGTCTTGGGTGTGAATTTGGGTGGGTGGTTGACTAAATGTATATAAAATAATGTTTGAGGCTGTTTTTAGTTTAAGTATATGTACTTATAAAACAGAGGTTTCAATAAAAGCCGAACAATCGCTTATAAGAACTTTTACTGCTAGGTTCCTGCGAGCAGGCTCTTGTATTTAGATTTCGAGTGAGCCTCACACGAGTAAGTTACGAGCCGACTGACTGGGGAGCTATTGATTCACAACTTTTCCCCTCACACGAGTAAGTTACAAGCCGACTGGCTGGGGAACTACTGATTTACAACTTTCCAGCGTTTATCCTCGAACACAGCATTCTGATTGGTGAGGAATGACAGGCTAGTTACATAAGTTTCGAAAAAAGTTATTATAGAAAGTGTTATTTTAGATGCCCAGAAACTAAAGCTAGAATGTACATTTCAGAGCTTTTATATTTCAATTTTTCTGGGCAAGCATGCGTCCAGAACCACAAAACGTGAAAGGGACCTTTACAGCTCCTTTTCCTTGTAAAGACGCCTATCATACCATTAATAGCCGCCTTTGACAGAGTTATTGAGATCGTTTATATTACTAGATTACCTTGTCGCTTACTCCAAGAATTTGCATCAATGTGAGGCAGGCATTGACTACACCAGTCCTTTGGGTTTGCTTCATTAGATGCGAAGCAATAATTGTTGATTAGGCAAGAATTTGTCTGTTAAAAGAAAAGAAGAAATAAACACAAAACTATTGTCACACGGTGCACAGTTATCAAGTATTTTAAGTCGATGTTTAAATGAGGAGGGAAAAGCGAATAATGACTATTCAAGTAGTAAATCCTGAAATAAGCCTGGCGTTTTGCATAATATTAAAATGTCTACTTGCCTTCAGAAAGCATCCTTGTGAAGAATTACAGTTCAAACAAACAGAGTCGTAGGATATGAACTTAAGTTTCTGGTCGCTTTGAGAGAAGCCATTGTTTGACACTGAAATCATCAGTCCAGCTGCTGGTGTTCCTTTCACATTCTCATCATATCGCCTAGCCATCACTGGGGAATCTGGTAAAAAGCAGTCCACTAAAACAAGATCCGTCATCATCGCTGGATATTTAACCTCGGCGTCATTTGGTACCCATGAACTGTTCCAAATCTGGCGAAAGAGAGAAAAAAGGGAAGAAGTAAGTCGAAGAAAAGGAGGGGAGGAAGAAAGAAAGAAAGCAAGAAAGGAGGAAGGAGGGGGGAAATTTCTCATAAAATTTAGTATTTTCTGTCGTATAATATAATTATTACTGCAAGTTGAGGTAGCGCTGAAAGGAGATGTTGTTCGTGACAGTGACTACATTGATTACAGCGACTGACATTTCAAAAGTCAGAGAGAAAATAGTTTTCAGAGTCAAGGGAATTATTGTGTATAATTACATCTAATACCTAATTTGAAAACGGTCCTATTGAAAGTGTTAAAAACATCACTTACGCTGTAAACGGAAGATAAAAATGAGCCGTATGAAATCAAACATCTAATCAGCTCTTTTAATTGATATTTCCTTTTTTCTTATTTTATTAAAAGAAACTCTTTTTTAAGAAAAGAAGGAAATTGAAACAAACTAACAACGTCATATGATCAAATAACACCGTCTTGACAGTAATGACAACAATGTAGTTAGTTTAATTACCTTGACTTCACTTATATGGCAGGTCAAATTGGTCGAATTTAAAAATTGAGTTCCTAAAACGGTTGCCCTCTTACATGGTCTTTGTCGCCTATCACATAACCCATCGCTTTGAAGACTGCAAATGTCAAAATTTAAGACACGCATTAATACATTTCTACTTGTTACATTTCTTTCCCTGTTGTAGGTCGAATACAATCTTGTTGTAAACATAGGCAACTTACTCTTTTTTAGTGACTAATTGATTATGCCAAGCTTGGTTATGGGTGCTTTTACCTTCCTGCAAAACAACCTTTCCTGATATAAAAAAAAAGCTTCAAGGGCTTGATGGTTAAGCGATGCCTTCAATTGAGTGGCGGAGCATTCAATTACAATCTAGAGTTTGGTCTCTCTTGGAACTAAAACGTTGGTCCTTGACCTACCAGGAAGGTTACTCTAGCAAATTGGAACAAAATCTGACTGCGAAATCAGAAATCAGAATTCAGATGGACTGGGGTTCCGATTCTAACAGGGGACCCAAATGTATCCTTTCTTTGTTTTCCAGCACTCCTCAAAAGTGTTTAACATTTCCGACGAGCCCTGAAGAACGAAGAAAGAATATATTTGTATCAAATGAATATTTCGTGAACTAACCGCTTTATAGAAGGATTTTGGTAAATTGATATTGAGCAATCGTCAGCAGTATAGCCCTTATCGCAAAGACATGACCCGTTGACACATTTTCCATTAAAAGTGCAGTCATTAGGGCACATGATCTTGGCGATCTGGTCTACTATTGTAGGCATTTCCAAGTCAGTCATATCAGTTACATTAAATGTCATGTTACGGACTGCCTCATCGTTGCATTCACTCATTAAAAGGGAAACAGCTCCGATGGCAAAAGAAAGGTCGCCAGTGTACTGCAAAACATTAGATAAAAACAAATTTTAAAAATCAAGGAAAGGACAGTTGCTGTGTGTTAGAATATCAGTTATTAGACAATCAAATGGCGGGAATTGAGGCTTATAAATACTAATGCGGCAATAGTGCACCCAGTTTTTATAAAGTTGTTGCTTTCCCTCAGTTTACCTGTCACCGCATTTTTTAATGCCACCAGGTTCGGTATTTAGGAGTGTCAGTTAGTCGTATGATTTTTTCCGCAAAACATCTATAATTTTTTTTTAACGAAAACAGCTTTGTGATGGCCATTCTTGTAGCACGCTTATTAATATTATCAATATACCTGTATCAAAATGTGTGCCGAGTGTGGGTATGACAGTCGTTCTTCATGAGTCAAGTTTCCGATCGTAGTGAAACTGAACTTAACAAACAATGAGCGTACTTAACGAACGGTCTGCATTTCATCTTACTTCATGATCGTTACGAGATCCTCCTGAATTAACTTCGCAAGGCTACCATGTTTGCTTTCATAATATTATGAGTAGGATAGCTATGCGGCAACAGGAACGGGCTGCTGCTAGAGGATTGACTCGCATTGTAATTATTCAAATATTTCTCTGGCAGGTAGAACGACAAGTTGTTTTTCTATTGACTATCATAAGTCTGACACAGCGGTTCAAGAAAATGTCGGTCGCAGTCGCCAAGAATGGCTTCTTTTAATACTGTAACCCCTGAAAAAGCAGAGTTCAAGCCACAAGTCTTGATTATACTTAGAGTGCTTGAAACTTACCTCGATATCAGCCGAGCAAACATTAACTAGTGCTTGTATGTTTGTTCCTAACTTGGCACACAACTTTCCTATGGTTGTATTTTCTAATTTTTCCGTGCAATACCGCGTCGCATTTTCCTTTGAAACTTGAAGTATAGATCGTTTTTGTCGCTCATGAACTTCTGGATGATCACGTTTCTTGAACAACTCAAAATCGTCCTCCGTCAGGTCATCCGAACTTGTTATGTCTCTCTTAATATTCCTGTTACACATCAGTATTCTATTAAGCTTTTGATTAGTTGCGAGGCCCCGGAAGAAAACAGGTATTCCATCATGACAGTCATCTGTTATATTTTTGTCTTCGTCTTCGCTGCAAGCACAGGCCTTTTCAAAGTTTACTCCACCACTGTGTTCATTGATCTTGTCTGGAAGTTTATGGAAGTAACTTGGGAATTTTCTGCAGCATAAACGAGACATAGATTGAATTTAAGCATTCCAAAGTTATCAATTATTTATCAGACAATAAAAACTAAAACAAAAGCAAAAATCAAGCAAAAAAAACTTGCAACCAGGTGATGTTTAGAAAGCTGGAAAATTGATGCTCTTTATGAGGTCAATTACGGAGTGCATACAATGAAATGTTCTATCGGCGAGTTTCTTTCACAATTTACACAAGCTGCCAATAAACTGGTAATAAGAATTTAGCGTGTCGTAAATTCAAGGTAATTAGGCTCAATGAATATTTCTGAATAATCCCCTGGATTTCGTTTCGGGGACTATTCAACAATATGCACTTCGCCTAAGTCGAATAACTGTTAAGTAGCATATAGTGAAGCAGTGGATAGCGTTAAAAGCGCGCTTTGGTTACTCAAACTCCGAATACCCTTTGCTATTAACCTCCGAGCACTGCGCACGGGATTTGTGACCGAAAATATTGTAATCATTGCAGGAATGAATGGATCAAATCATCTCTTTGCGCCTCAATATCTCACTGTTTCAATATTTACTAAAAAAAAATTCACCTCAGTGTCGGCGGCTAGCGGTGGATATTTATCGAGCCCCTTTGCAGTTAAGTAAATATCCATCACCAGCCACCAACATAAACCAAAGGCGAACTAAAATTTTATAAGATATTCTTGCCTTTGACTGTTTCCGAATGTATTTATATCACCCTTTGTTGGTAAATACGTGCATAATCCGTCCTCGTTAGCCTCTTTTTCCGCTTGCGGAGCGTAGATGGTGACATCTATGCCCCAATAATTTCTTTCCAACTCAACCTTTATTCCAGTGGGAAATATAACCTGAAAGAGGGTTTGGCCATTAGTTGCGCGATAGTGCAAAAAATGCAATCGACTTTGAACTAAGAGAGAAAGTTTGTTATTGATATGTTAGAATAATGTTGATATTGCTAATGATAACAACAATGGTTAAGTGATAAATCTGACAACAACAATTTTAATGGCGATGATGATGATGGTATGCATTGTAATCCTGAAAGTAAGTTCAATAATATGAATGACAACGATACTTGCAATGCATCATCAACATTCTTTCTAGTGCTCCCCTTTAACAACAACAACTCTGGCCTCCGACTAAATCTGTTGCCACTTTATTTAGTTGCCTAGGAAAAATTCAAGGCACTTACCTCGTACTTGCTGTTAAAACCTTTAATAACCTGTTTTAAGGATATTCCAGGGGCTAGGCATTTGCTCCGAGGTATGGTGACTTGTATTGGTGTGGTGTCATCTCTGGTAAGACTTGGGTTGCAACAACTAAATTTAATAAGGTCATTATGATCTCGTAATATGACTCCGCAGTTACAAGTTACGCTTTTGGCATTGTTGCAAGCCCACTGTCTTGTCTGCACCTGCAGAGAGGAAGATCACCAGTAAATTCGGCGTGCTACAACAGCGTAACAAAAGGGATCGCTTCCTCGGAAATTGTTTGAAATTTTTTAAAAGGATTTTCTTCCGTTGCAAACAACAGAGCATAATTTCAAATAAACAAAGGACATCATCCAATCGGTAATGGGTGTAAATGCATTGATAAAATTTGGCGAGTTATCTTAATCCTTGATGGAACAGTAGATGAAAGAAAAGCGAACATAATTTAGGAAAAAAATCTGTCTATGAAACATTTAGCACTATATTACATTCGCTGTAATGTAATTGACTACTTCTAAATTATGATAATTAGATATTACAGCTCTGTTTTTATCAAAATATGGAGAACTAAAGAGGTTTGGAGGCCACTCAAGAAGATCTAGTGTTACTCGTATCGTCAACTCTTATTTTTTGTCCCTTCCAAACCTCCAAAGCCAGTTCATTACGCTCTTGATACTAGAAAATCATCGAAAGGAGGCTTCTAAAATTTTTTTCACAAAAAATTTTAAGGTAAATGATATATTTAAGGTGCGAAAATTATAGACATTTGATATATGTCACCTCAAAGTTTTTTTCGGTGTTGCTGTACAAAGTAAAATCACCATGGCCCATGAAATCTCTCCAACCCACGCTAGAAAAAGATTTCAAAAAAAAAAATTAAAACAAACAAAAAAACAGAAAAAGGAGAAGGGATATTTCTTCGAAACGGAAAGAGAGGAGTGTATGAGTTAGGAGGACTTTGATGCTGAAAATGTCAGCAGTGTCGATTATGGTGGAGATATGGCAATTATTAATGGTTGACGGTACTCTTTGTGTTGATTAGGGTTATAATGACTTCCGATAGGATTGTGATGATGGTGGACAGGTGCTTTGATTTTTCCAAGCGTTGATATTAGCCTTTATCTGTATGATTAGTGGAAGTAGCTTTCTGTAAGTTTGGTCTCCGAGGACCATGAGACTTGTACTGCTGCGTCCCTAGCTAGCCTTGTGCTATCTATCTGTGAAACACATTTCAACTTCTAGCTTTGTCTGTTAGTGAAAAATTGGTTCCTCAGCTTCTCACTGCTCTGTGACAGAATTGAGCAGTGTCCTTTAACCGTGCAAATTTTTATATAGCAATTTTACTAATTTTGCCAATTTTAAAAGACCCTCTTAGTATTTTGGCAGATTAATATTTTATAAACGTTTGAACATATCAAATTGGATAAGGCTGTATGGAGATAAACTACTTTTGGGGCTTCTTCCTTTACGTGTTTAGGATTGTTATTGTTATATTTTGCCACCTTGGATCCATCATAAGGAAGTGAGGATCAGTTACAGATCTGCATTTCCTCATCTCAGTGTTTTTCTGTTGTACAGTAACCTGAAAAGCGTAGAAAATTAAATGTATTTGAACTTTCAAATGTGGCTGAGACTTACTTCTCGCGGTCAGTGAGAGGGAAAGCAGTCTTATTTTTTCGCTCATTAGTTGACAAACAAACAGAGAGAATCGCCGTTTGACGGCTTAACAGAATATCCTATCTTAGTGTAAACTAAACACTCTTCTTCACCGGTAGCTTTTAGACTCAAGAATAATCAGTTAAAAGAGGGGAATTGAAAAAAGCAAAACGAACAGGTTAAAACCGAATAGAAAAAACAAACAACTCATGTTCAACTAACATTCCGCGTGGCTTTAATAAAGTTCACATATAACGCGCCGTCATTGGTTGAAAGAGCGTGCTCTATCAGAGAACATAACACGGAGCTGAACTAAAGCTGTCACGTCATCTGCCAGTTTGTACCATGTACGACCCATTCCCCGACTTCTCTCTGGGTTTTATTCGTTAACTTGAAGGTGAAATTTCGGAATAAGTGAGCTGGTAAATAACAACAAGAGAATCAAATAAAGGTTTGTAAACATGCTAAGCGCCGAAATTAACGTTTTTATAACGTAAACAACAACAAGAAGAAAGAAGAAGAAAACGAAGCTCAGTTAGATTATAAGCTTACGTACGGTAATAAAACTCAAACCCAGCTAACACTCGTATAATTATATAGTTTCGTGCTCAAAAACAAAACAGAACAAAACAGCAATGTCGAAAAATATTATCTAACAAGCATAACTGTTAAAATTCATACAAATCATGATGGTGACACCAGTTTGTGAACTACTGCAGATTGCGAACTTTGATGGTTTGTGAACCTTGTTGGTTTGGCATTTTTGACAGCTTAAGTCTTATTCAACCAATTAGATTATTTGAACCACTCTAACAAGGATTCTGATTGGCCTTGTATGGCGTGCTTTATGAGAGTATAGAACATGCTGACGGCACTTTTTTTCGCTTCCAAATTGAAATTTGTTTAAAAATAGTAAGAAATGCTTAGGAAATTTGACGAATTCTTTATTACTAAAGAAGTGGAGAGAAACACTCGACTACGTCTCGTGTTTCTCCCCATATTTCTTTCTTGCTAATAAAGAATCCGTTAAATTCCCCACGCATTACTTTCAATTTTCAAAACAAACTTTTTTCCAAAGTGAACAACAGTGTCGTCAGCATGCTCTATGTTCTCATAGAGCACGCTTGGTTCAAATAATTTCTAATACAGAATCTGAAAGTAAAATGTTCAGTGAACTCCGGCCGAATTGTGGCTCATAAAAACACGTAAGTTTTTTTTCACATGACAATTAGAAAACAAACTGTCCAAGTTGTCGGACGACAGCCGAATTTACCGGAAAATGACGGTTGCTCGGGATATGACAGCGCCGGAAAACTCGGCTGATGTGACTGATGTGGCCTTATACTCAACGCATCGGAAAAGTTCTCGGAGAAAACTGTTAGTTGTTCTCTCGAAGGGCGGCCGATGTACTTTTTGAGGCTTACTTGACTGCGATGACCGGAGATCGCCGTGATGAGCTAGCCGCGTTGGACCTCAGCATGACACCGTCATGACTAGTATGAGTTTTAACAGTTATGCCAGTTTGGCTATATTTTTCATCATTCCTGTTTTGTTCTGTTTTGTTTTTGAACACGAAACTATATATACTACACGAGTGTTAGCTGTGTTTGATTTTTATTACCGTACGTAAGCTTGCAATCTAACTGAGTGTGAAAACCTTTATTTCGTTTATTCTTTGAGGATTTTCGTCTCTGCTCAGGTTATAATAACGTTAATAACGGATCCTGGCATGTTTAAAAACCTTTGTTTGGTTCTTCTGTTGCTATTTGCCGACTTGCCTGTTCCGAAATTTCACTTTCAATTAAAGAAAAAAAAAATATGGAAAAATCCCGGAGAAAGTTGGATATAGTACAGATTGGCAGATGGCGTGACAGCTTCAGCTCAGCTCTATGCTCTATACTCTCATAGAGCACGCTCTTTCAACTAATGACCGCGCGCGCTATATCCGAAATTTATTATAAAAATGATTAAAGCCTTCCCTTTGCTCTGTTCTGTTGTAAAGCATTTAAGAAGCGGCTACAGCACTCAAGAAGTAGGGGGGGACACTCCACTAAGTCTCGCCACTTCGTAGTTACAGAAGTCTAAAGTTGCTATATGACTGAACGAGATCTTTTCCAAACAATTTACCAAAGCTTAATCCAGTCTAATGACCTAATGTGTCAAAATTTGCACGCCTCTTTATTAAGAATGAACTATTGTTCATGCAGTTTTTGTCAACATTTTGTTAATTTTTTGGCCGACTGCGCTTATCTTAGACTTCTATTATATTCGATTCCAGAGGGAGCTAATGGATAACTTTCAAATGCAGAAGTTCCGCGTCTAAAGTCTAATCACATTTGGTAAAAAGTAAGCGTACGAACAATCTCCGTTTCTGTTTAAGTATTTTGGTCGTACTGCAAAACAGGTTTCCTTCATTGGAAAGTGAAAGTTACTTAAGTGAAACTTTTCCTGAGGATATATGAAAATGGGCAGTGAATTTGCTATTTTCGTTAAAACCGCGTAACAAAGTAACGAAACGCTGGAGAGAGCCCTTATTGACAAATAGAGCAGGTTCTATCCATATCTTGGAATTAGTGTAAGATTACGTACCCAGATTGTCGGCAGACCGAGGAAACCCCAGAATTCACTATCCCAATTGTTGTATATCCTAGGGGTGACAACATTCAGCCTATCGCTGCTATGAAGAGTTGTACAAGTAGCCCCTATCTGTACTGTAACAGATTTGGTTCCTTTCAGTTGTATGAGACAGTCTTTTTTGTCCATGATCCATAGGCCCGGAGGAAGGAAAAACTTCACCAAGAGGTAGGAGCCAACGGAATTTTTTCGCACTGGAATTGTTGGGGTGAGTGCGATATTTTTAGGGGTGTCACATTCCTTTATGATGAGGGTGGTGGGATAGACCTGAAAATGCGAAAGATGTAACACTTGTAATGAGTAATGAGTGCAAGTAGCAATTCACCTGTTTAAACTTACTTAAACTAAAGGAAGATGCAAAAGTGACTTTGCAAGAATGAGTAGCCAGAAGCTATTGTAGTTATTTTATCATTTCTTCTTTTATGTCATTCATGTTTTTTTTTTATCCCCAAACTGGTATTTAGGTCAACCAGTACTTTGAAAACATTGAAAAGGGGCGAAAAAATGTTTATTTTCAACCTGGTCGAAGAAGCCGAGAGTCAATCGCATAGTGCGTATGTATGAGGAAAACGATACGTCCAATCTGGAGCCGTTTATGATGTTTTTTTTTTATTCATGTGTGAATGGTACCGAAGTGATCCACGTTCAATTTCACTGGCAGAGTTTCGCTCTTCAAGCTATTCGGAAAATTGTAATTTAAAATCCGCTCTAACCACAGGCGGCCCAAGCTCCAGCTGTGAGGTGATCATCTTGCGAAATAACTGTCATGGCGAAATTATAAGAGTTTATATTAGAAACCATTTCAGTAATCCATTTCGAGGTTTTCCACGTACATAAGGAAAGGGCTCCCTTCAACGTAGTAAGCGGTCAGATAACAAGCGATGCACTGTGGAAGTAAGGTGAAGTATTTTTATTGAGAATTTGACTTATTTTTTATTCCTTAGAGCGGTCGTAAATATTCCCATATAAACTCTTATAATTTCGCCATGGCAGTTATTTCTTAAGATGATCATCTTACAGCTGAAGCTTTGGCCGCCTGTGCTCTAAATGCTCCTTATTGAGTCAAATTACTCACAAAAGATGCAAGAAGTTGTCACACAGACATAAAACTTCCGCGGAGGATTATATGGAAAGCATGGAGAACAAACACACACATACACGCACACACACATAGAACAAGGCGAGTTTTGAAACTTGTAATTAGATTTTGTAGACTACTTTTCTGGAGACAAGACTAATTTGATGAATTTTCATGAATTGAAGACAGCCAATTTGAATGCCTTGTTCACCAGGTCCTCACGTATCATGGCCCTACACCAATTGAATTAATGGTGTTTTTTTTTACCTGTATACCAGCAAAAAAAGGCTGCGTGACATGCAGTGGATCTGACCAGCTACTGGGCTCAACATTAGTGAACCTCGCAGATACATTGCATGATATCTGTCAACATAATGAAGAAATTAAGTGTCACTCATTCAGTCAACGTAAAAATCGTAAAAACGATTGTGTATGGAATGAATCATCTAAGAATGAAGATAAATGGAGGTTGCAATCTTTGAAAAGATCTGTTGGTAATAAGCAGCATATCTGTAATGTTCTAAAACAATTATCCTTTGAAGTGCAGCTGTATTTCAGTAATTCAGGATGAAATTGGAGTTGCTTTGGAAATATAAGGTGGAGAAGGGCATATTCCTCATTGCATTTAAATGGAAGAACATCACACTAGCTGGCAGATTTAAGTCTTCTTGACCCATATCCCTTGGATTTAATAATTCAAAAAAGGTTTAGTTAATTTCCACTTGCTGTCCATGTTTCTATCGTGTGCTTTTCACACGAAAAAAACAATTGTTATATCTATATAAATGACAAATTGTTAATGACATATGTTGATAACCATAATTACGAATATTCTGTGAGAAATGTAACTCAATATTGGTTTATCACATTTATGGTTTAATTTGGTGAGGTAGTATAATTCGCATGCTTTGGGTAATCACATGACACATGATCAGTACCACCAGAAACGGAATTGAAGTTAAAAAACAAGAAAAGAAAAGAAAAAGATAAATCAGTATATTTATAAAGCACGTTTTACAACAACTAGATAGCGCATTATTCACACAAAAATTCTACCCACAAACACAGTTAGCTCTCTCCATGCTGCTCTTTTGATAAAAGAGAGTGATGATCCCATTTACAGCTTTGTTTTATTTTGAGAGCATCATGACTAATGGATGATACCATTTAATTTATTGTTAAAGGGCCGGGGCTGATATATCAGCACAAATCTCATCTGCAGAAATCACATCTCATTTCTTCAGTTTAGATCATATCATACTTCGTAATTTTCCTTGCATTTTATAGATGAAGCATGAATTCAAGTGAATCTGTCAGCTTACCTGGAATATTTTGTTTTTCCTTTCTGTCGATTCATTTTAATCAATTAAATCAAGTAATTGAATGAATTCAATATATTAAATGCAATTAATGCAATTAATGCAATTAATGCAATTAATGCAATTAATGCAATTAATGCAATTAATGCAATTAATGCAATTAATGCAATTAATGCAATTAATGCAATTAATGCAATTAATGCAATTAATGCAATTAATGCAATTAATGCAATTAATGCAATTAATGCAATTAATGCAATTAATGCAATTAATGCAATTAATGCATTAATGCAGTTAATTACATTAATTTGATCAATTACATTAATTTGATCAATTACATTAATTTGATCAATTACATTAATTTGATCAATTACATTAATTTGATCAATTACATTAATTTGATCAATTACATTAATTTGATCAATTACATTAATTTGATCAATTACATTAATTTGATCAATTACATTAATTTGATCAATTACATTAATTTGATCAATTACATTAATTTGATCAATTACATTAATTTGATCAATTACATTAATTTGATCAATTACATTAATTTGATCAATTACATTAATTTGATCAATTACATTAATTTGATCAATTACATTAATTTGATCAATTACATTAATTTGATCAATTACATTAATTTGATCAATTACATTAATTTGATCAATTACATTAATTTGATCAATTACATTAATTTAATTAGTTACATTAATTTAATTAGTTACTTTAATTTAATTAATTACTTTAATTTAATTAGTTACATTAATTTAATTAATTACTTTAATTTAATTAATTACTTTAATTTAATTAATTACTTTAATTTAGTTAATTACATTAATTTAATTAATTATTTTAATTTAATTCTATACCTTGGGACAAACTCTCTCAATCATTAATGACTTACTCTCTGGCCTGGCCCAAAGTTGCTTAACTGAGAGCGAATTTCTTTACGTCGACCTGAACCTGGACAAGATTTATCATTTTCCAACTGACCACTTTTTGGAAGGCAGAATGGTGCTGCATTATCTATTAACGTTCCTTCCGAGTACCACTGGATACGGTACGTCACATTCTTCCAAAGCTCAATACCCTTTAGAAGAGACACCTGGCAATAGAGTTTGACCTTGTCTGTGTCAGGAGCAGCGGTGCCGGCGACGACATAGCCTATAGTTGGTCTTCCCAAGTATGTGCTACTTGGAAATGTCACAGGCCCTGCGACTGTAAAGAAAGGGGAAAAGCAGGAACTAGTTTGCTACTGTAAGGCCAACATTTCTTGCATTAAAAAAAGTCGTAAGCAAACCATAACCGAAGAAAAACCAAAGAGTAAAATCTCTACTAGCTGAGTATGTAGGTTTATGCCACGATTTCCAGTCTTTTTAATTGTCTAAAAGTGGTCTGTCTGTCCGATAATCTTAGCTGATTTTTTTTCTAGTATGAAGGATGCACGCCTGTTAAGAAATTTCTTTATTATCCGTTTCTAGGGATAAATGGTGTGACAGGGAATAGTATATTTCATTACAGTAAATGGTGTGAACCTGGGGGTAACATGTAATAGTGTTGTTTGATCCTCCGGGTGAGTGCATTTATCAAGACCGACCGACCTCGACCGACCTACTCCACTTAAGTCTTACAGCCAATAACATCACGGCGAAACTGACCAATCCGTTTATACAAACCGGACTAAAAACAATCGACTGACAACAACTATTCACTTGACTTTGATGATGACTTCCGCTCAGGACTAGACTCACCCAAACTACACTATTAAAGTACATTTAATTTTTGGAGTTTGCATGGAGATTGCCTCTTACAATCCTAGAATACCTGAGCATTTATTCAATGATATTCCTTCCTGTCCATAAGGGCAAGGCTGTCCATTTCCTACGTCATGAAATAGATAAATAAATAAGTGAAAGAGTAAAGAAATACACAAACACTCATATATAGACATACATACATACACGTGTATCTGCACCCGTTTTTAAAAACGTTGCAATTTGATAAAAATTTGTTTTTTCGTCAAAAAGTTTCTCTTCTTGATGAGAAAACAAAAGGTATATATAGTTCATGTTTATTTTCAAATTGCAACGTTTTTGAAAACGGATGTATGTACATATATATATATCCGTTATATATACAAATGTTGCAATTTGAAAATGTATATAAATTCGAAATATATATACCATTTATTTTGATTTCCCACTGAAAAAGGTGTCGATAGAATTAATCATTTTAAATTATCATAAAAGGAGAGTACGAAAATTGCTATCAAAGGTGACTTAAAGAATGAGCCAGCAATATTTGTACCAGTAGCCTATGGCAACTATATATTCTCCTGCAGTCTAAATTTTTCAAGATCCCTTCTTATTTTCTGCCTTGTTTGCTCTAAGAAATCTCGAAAGTTGTTCGCATTTCTTAGCTTCCTTTATCAGTCATCATGTATATACTTGCTCAAGTGACCGCTTAGAGCCAGAATTGCGTGACAAGTGACAGAAGATTTTAAATATATGAAATTCATATATTTGCACTGCGGTGAAGAGATGATATTAGGAGATCCTCGCAGCTAAGAACACTACTGAAACGAGTAGTTGAAAATAGGACCTGAAAAAATTCAGGCCCGTACGGGATTTGAACCCATGACCTCTGCGATACCGGTGCAACGCTCTACCAACCGAGTTAACAAGCCAACTGGGAGCTGGTCAATGTGTTGGGTCTAAATAAACCATCCAAGTAATGATTTATCAAACTATTATCAACTACTCGTTTCAGTAGTGTTCTTAGCTGCGAGGATCTCTTGATATCAAGTGACAGAAGCTTGTCACAGTCGCAGTCCCAAAAATTTTTTTGATGGTTTATCAAATGAAGTTATCAAATATTTGGATGAATCTAAAAGTCTAAAAAACAGTGATTTATTTGGCTCTGTTTGGTTAAGAAGCCTTCAATCAAATTGACTGATACTTGCGTCGTACATTCATAAAGAATGTAACAATAGGTATGCAATGTCTAAGGGTAATGGGTTGAATACCATCGCAGTGAGAGCTTCAAACATTTTACCTAATAAGAAGCGATTTCCTTAGTGAAAACCAGGAAAAACCGGTGAGATTGCATGTAGCACGACTCAAATCTCCCAGTTGGCGATCGAATTTCGTTCTCAGCCGTGAGAAATGCCAGTTTTAAAGCCACATAGGCTTAAATAATGAAACAGAATTTTAAGGGTTCTGAGACTGCCGAGCGTTTATGAGTATTCCTAACTTAATATGATAATGACCTTCGAAATTTTTCAACGCTAATGCAATAAAAGAAGTAAGTAGAAAACCAGTTCGAAATGTCAAGATTCTTACCAGCACAGTAGGCAATGTAACAAGAATATGTTGGCTTGAGATAATAGACGTAATATTTCCCACTGCAGTTCTTGACAGTTATTCCAAATTCGTAAAAACAACCACCTCTTCTGTCAAATATGTTTACGCAGGCTTTAACTGATTTTATCACATTAGTAGCGGGATGCGCTTCCTTCAACCAAATCGGAGCTTTAGTACCGCAGTGGTTTTGCTTTACCATCGAAGTCGGCATTGCTCCTCCAACAAAGCTGGTAAAGCGATACCAACCTTCTTTCAGAGTTTGATCACATAACGGGGTTTGACCTGGCTTCCATACGCTTTTTGTACTGCGTCGGGAATCACTTATTTCTTTATAATTTCCCTGTTGGCAGCATCCGTTACAGCTTGCAACGCCTTGACCAAGGGATGCATGAGAGAAGGTGACGAGAATAAACACGCATGCCACTATCAATCGAGCAACATTCATGTCTTCGAATGATATTTCTGTTCACGACGTAAAACTAGTCTGACATCCACCAAATTACCTCCCTTATTTTGATCAAAGCTCTCGGAGTGGCATGTAATTACAGTAAATCCCACTCGTCTTAGTCGTACGCTGTCATCAAAGATATGTAGCGAGTTTGAATTGACGTCTAAATTTAGATGGACTTCCTGGATGTCTGTCACTCTCGCAAGTGACGATGCATAAAAGGGCAACCCAAAGGAATTGAGGACAGATAAGAATAACAAAAAATGCTTCTCGGCAAAGATTGTCCGTCACTTTGTTATTTCTTTAATTGTATGTCCGGGCATTTAATGAAAACAAAAACAAAGAAAACAAAACACCATTAACAACGACAACCTTTTAGAATCCAAATGCAAGTCATTTTCTTTTCTTCCGAAACATGAATCACTCAGCTTTGACGAAAAAACATTTGAAATTTGCATTTGTGGGGTGAAGCACCTTCAAATTTTAAAGAGAAAACTTTTGCAAGCTTTAAACCTTTGTACCCGTAATTAAATGCGCATAACCGTCTTTATTTAAAGCTCAATACAACGCGAGACGTTTGTCAAACGAATGAATCTGTTCAAACACAATCGAGTTGCAAAGCTAAATCAAGGTTAAAGGTCGTATAGCATTATGAAAGAAAGCAAACCATACAAAAAAAATTCTTCGCTCACAAGGCTGCCTTCTCATAACGATCGTTCTTCTTTTCACGTCAGTGAAGGAATATTTGGATGATCACAAAAGGAAAAGCTATTTTTTGCCAGTACTGCCCTCCGCCAAAATGTCCTGACCAGTACATTCTTTCCCTTGCTGCTAGCCGACTAGTGATGAGACCTTGTTAAAAATTTGTTGGATTAGGCTTTAATAAATTGATATAGCCAAGATTAAAAGCAGAGCTCCAGTTAATTATTTTCTAGCCCTTTACTTTAGTAAAAATCCTCAGCCGTCGAAGAAGTTATTGAAGGAGATTTAAGAACCAGTCCGGATGGGGAACGAGGGTGGGGAATTAGCGGGGCCTGAACCGAGGGGCGATATGCGGGCTACGTGTAGTCGTACCTCCCCCTCCCCTCCCCAAAGGTGACAAGGTGAAACGGAAGCAAGGGAACGTCTACGGCAACCTGACACGAATTGTGTTCAATGACGTCACTCTAATCAATGCATTAGTATGTAACTTGATAATAATTTTTGCGTGCTAGCGAGAAAGGTCATCGATGCAAGCAACAATTCAAATAAATTCATTTTATCCATCGATTCGGGTAAATTGGCAGTTCAGTGCTCGCGTTCCTTTAAGTACTTTGCTTCAAGGATTAAGAAAAAGATTATAGGTGATATTTGAAGAGGACGTTTGTTCGATTGGCATCGCGCATAGGAAACCAAATTTCAACGTTCACGTGGTTTCTGCTAACATTTAATCGTATACATTGCTGCGGTCGTCTATAAAAGTAAAATCATTTGCCGCAGAATCTCAAGGGCTTACAGATTTCTTTAACAGATAGTTACGCGGCACATGTGAATAAAGAGCGACTCATTTGTCAGTGGAAAGGATCGCTGCAAGAAACAGGACTGGCTTTAGTTTATTAGCTTCGCAGCATCGTTCGCAAAGAGACCGAGAGTTGAAGGCGGACAATCCGGACAATCCTCTTAGCGCAAGACCACTGAGATAATATATCTGGTCTTCCGTTAGAGCTTTAACGGGAAGCACAATAACTGTAGCGAATGGTTTTGTTCTAGAGAAGAGAGGGGGGGGGGGTGCGGATGGTGTTTTCACAACTTGCAAGACAATCTACACGCATGCTAATCAGCGGTGTTTTCAAGCAGCTGAAGGCCTTCGTTCCTGATATTTTGAGCGGATTTTCGAGGATTATAGGGGGTGTTTTCTTCTTCAGATACAGTGTACGATGTCAGTATCGGTCGGAAGGATATTCGTGAATGATGGTTTCAGTTTGGGAAAACGAGGCAATATTGAAATGAACGACGGGAAACGGCTATGAGTTAAGCAGTATCACCGGTCGATTCAAGGGTATACAACGCTTATTAGAGTGATATAGCAAGTTGACAACAGCGCGCGCCCCGTCGTGTCTCAGAAGTGACTGAGAAGTCGTTGCAACGAGCCGTCAATGTTACGTTTGTTCTTGAATATCCTAACCTCGGCTCTTTAAAGATCACCATCACCTTTGAATTTTCGGTTTTATAGCCTTAAGGACAACGAAATTATCTTCTTTGAGAGTTATGTAACAAGCGCAAGCAGAGAATAGTTATAGATACCGCAAGTAAGTTGTTGACATGAATCCGCAAGGGCGATTAAATTTTGAAATTATTCCATTCCAGTCTAGTCTCGAGTGAAAACGACAACGACAATGACAACAAATAATACTGAATAATACAATAGGCAATCCTCGTGATATTTCATTATAATAAACTTCAACATGAAGCAAGTTTAATTTATTGATGAATTAATTCACGATAAATAATAGCATCCATTCTTAGAGTTTTCATACAGAGTTAAAGAAATGTACCAAAGAAAAGCCCTTACGTTGTTTAAAGTCTTGCTCTGAATTGAAAGGAAAAGCGAACTGAGCTCTGAAATCTTATATTGCTTGCTAACGACCGTGTTTCCCTTTGGGAATCCTAAATAAATGTAGCGGTAAATTTTCACAAATACACCGAATAAAACAAAGAAAGAGACCTGGTTGTCCTGGAAATAACTTTTGAAATCATTCCAGATAGCATTATCTTGTTTATAAATGCACAATTTACTCAAATCCCAGGCGTTTTGATCGCGACGGGAAAACCAGCGAAATGACGTCCTAAACTTGTTAGGAACTGAACGGCAACGCTAACACTGGAAGTCGAAATTGAGTCGCGTCCAGACTATCTGCACGCTTTCCCATTCTGAAAAGACATTCCCGTCCCCTTGCTAAATCACTCTACCATTGCAAAACAGAGGTAAACGCGAATTACTCTGGACACTCGAGTGTAAATCACTCTGAATATACATTTGAGGGATGCGGATTCCTCTGAATTGTTTTCTTTGTACAGTCTCACTTGGGCAGCTTTAAATCTGAGGAATGCTTATTGCTATTTTAGCATCTTAGTCCATGGAAGTCCACATATTAATTAATAAATTCAAAAGAAGATTATAACAATCATTATAATATAAATCTGTTTTGATATGCTTGTAGATCTGGATTCAGTAGAAGCTTATTTCCTTTTTATCCTGTTATTTCATTTTTATCAAGTAGTATAGAAAGGGGTTGGAGTCATGGTTTTAAACATGAAGAATAATGCTTGAACATAGTCACCACGGTGAGTGCGAGTGCGTAGTGGAGAGAGAAAGAAATTTGTACCAAAACAGGCAAATTTTATTACGATTTCGAGCTGTCGATTGATATGATAACGTTGAGTGTATTGTTATCAGTCCTGCAAACAGCCTGCAGTGCAAACGTCTTATTAGGGCGAGTTAACGTTAAGTAGTTTGCGATCGTTTATTCAACCGGCCATATTTGAGTTGGAGTTAGAGTGAACGTGGGGGGATGGGCGAAAAGAAACTATTATATGTCGATGAGGAGTTGTAAAGTTATCACACATGTCTAATACGCCCGACCTGAGTCGGGTTGTCTTCACCAGCGAGCGGATTGAGTCTGATTGCGACCGGAACCCAAAATAAGCGCAAGGCGCTTGATCAGTGGTACCGGAAGTAAGAGGTTAACAGGAGCGACGGGGGTTGAAGATGTTGGCAAACAGACTCGATCGGATCCGATGGAAACAGTTCGTCCTGGCAAAAGTCGATCGGACTCCCGGAGGTCGGTTCGCGAGAGACAGAGAAAATATCTCTCAGCCATGAGGCGAAACAAGCGTGCTACACATGAAATATACGTCGTTCTTAAAGCCATGTCGAGAAACAAGCATGCGACACCTGCAACATTTTCTCGAAATAATTTTGCGGAAACTTGCGAACTATGGGGTTGATCAAAGTGCTCTACGATTTTTTGCGTCCTACTTATGTAATAGATCCCAAAAATGCAGTGTCAATGGAGCGTTATCCAGTGCAAGCAGATTAACCTGCGGGGTTCCCCGGGAAGTATACTGGGACCTCTGCTCTTTTTAATATATATAAATGATCTTCCTAATTGCCTCGATATTTCCTGCGCAAAAATGTTTGCCGGCGATACTAACATCACCGTCCCTGGTTGCACTTTTGCCGAACTCGAACAAGCAACAAATTCTGAACTTCACAATCTTTGCAGCTGGCTAAAAGCCAATAAACTTAGTCTAAACATCGCGAAAACTGAGTATATGGTGATTACTACTCGTCAAAAGTTTATTGCAGAAAATTGTAGTGAGATTGGCCATCCAATTTGCAGGGTTGAGCATGCCAAATCATTAGGTTAAATGATGACCGACTTTCATGGTTTAATCACATCAAAGAACTATGCAGAAAGATATCTTCGGCAATAGGTGCTGTGAGACGCATTAGGTCCCTCATTTCTCAGTCCACTGCAGTACAAATATATAACGCTTTAATCCAACCTCATTTCGATTACTGTGCCTCCGTTTGGGATGGATTGAGTTCTTATCTATGTGAGAAACTACAAAAATTGCAAAACTTAGCAGCTAGGGTTATTCTGCAAACCAACTGTGAGGTAAACTCAAGCCTGCTTCTTGAAACTTTGAAGTGGGACCAGCTATCACTAAGAAGAAGAAAGCAGAAAGCTAGATCAATTCGGCAGTTTAAGAAGGAAATCAACCGCGCACTTGAAACATTCCATTCCCACTCGGCAATCTTGTAAATCAGTTTTTATAGTTATTTTAATTTTTTGCAAATGATTGTAATTAAAATACTATTTGTATAACTGAAGATTCTTAACCGAGATTAAATAAAGATCTACTACTAAAATTAGCTGTTCTTTACGCCATGGGGCGAGACAAGCGCGCTTCTCATGAAATGTACGTCGATCTGAAGGCCATGACGAGAAACA